GACAATTTTGCGTGTTAAAGCAATATAATCCGCGAAAAATAACTTTTGTTACTGGCCAGCTGTTCTTAAGGCGGATTTTCTATGAATGTGCGCATAGAAAATAATCTCTCAGAGAGCGCGCGAGCACTGATTAGTTTAAAATCGCTTGAATGTTTAAACTGGTAAGACTTAAAAAGACGTGCAAATGGTAAACTTCAGTCACGATGCACTGCTGGCCCGATTGTGCGAGTGAATATCCATCATGTCCCGACTCCTAAACGCGAGTGTGTGTTATCGCCGCAGCTCTTGATGCTTGCCTTGCACAACACATTATGAGAGACGAGAAAGAAGCGGCACCGCTGAACACTCACGCTGTTTGTGAAATTGCGTCTGGCAGATAGTTGTTAAAAGAATGATTTGATTTTATAATCTGTGTGGATTACGATTGCGGGAATTTCCCGCATTATAAATGGGAGACCTGCGGGAATGATTAGAATTATGCGCAATAACCGCGCCGAAATTCGAGCCCTGCAATAGTTTAAAACAAGACGTTTGTAGTATTACTGATTACTGGAGTCCATTAATCGAATTTCCATGCCTCTTATTTAGTAATTATATATTGTAGTATGTAGGCTACCAATTTACTAATGCAATTAATGCTCATACTCGGTTTCTCTCGTGCTCTGTCGCTCGCGCGCAGACACACTCGGAGTTCTGTAGCCTCCGGGCTGGTTGCGGATGAGACAATTGTTGAATGAGACAACACGCGAGGTGAGGGGGAACAAAAGCAAGGAGGCGGGGGCGAGCACAGCACAGAGAAGGCAAACAAGCAAAGTGGCGAAATCAGGATTAAATATAAACAATATATCGATATTTACGATATGTCAAAATCCATATCGTGTTTAAAAAATATCTCGATATATTTTAAATATCGAGATATCGCCCACCCCTAACAGAGAGCATGCAGGATTGGGAGACAGGGCAAAATGTGCCAATAAAATAATGGCTATGGATGAATTTGGCTAACTGTCCTGGCCTGGGTTATTAGTGTGGCAGAAAGGTGCTACACCTGCGCAGCGCATAACTTAAAATTTTCCTTTTACAGAATGTCAGGATGGATTGGATCAAACAGAACTAATTCTGTTCCAAATGTATAAATATTGTGTGGACATGAGCAAAGTGGGTTGAGTGTTTTTTCAGGGTAAAAGGACCCCGAGTGCTATTAAGTGAGCAAGAAATTATCCGGAGATAATGTTTCAGATTGTTGATTCCACAGGTCACACCAAAGGGGACGAGCGGCTGTCAAGCGGTCACTAACAAAATACTTAAGGTCTCCATTCACAGGTGACAGTTCACTCCAGTGGGGGTGCGGTCGTGATATAAGGGAAAACCTTATAAGGATCAGAAAATGGTTGGAGAGTGTGACACCTGGGTCCAAGCCTCTCACCTACACCAACAGGCCACAACCATCCCATAGTCCATGGGGCGAACGAGATGATCAACACGCCTGGAGGAGGATGTGAACCAACTAATGGTTTAAGAATGTGGTTTTGTGATTATTTTGAGGATTTGATTTGATTAAATCAAAATAGGGCTTAGTATTGATATACAGTAGATCAAAAGATTTGATTGGTTACTTATTCATTAGGAAATATTTAAGGAAAATGTTTTTGGGAAGAGAAGATCTATTAATTAATGTAAATGGTAGGGATAATTGTTGAAGCTTATTAAGTAGAACCACAGCATGTTTGAATTAAAAGTTAAAGGTAAAAGAACACAGAACGTCCGTGGGGCGAACGAGATGATCAACACAACTGATGGTTTAAGTTTAACAGAAGAATCTGGTTTTGTGATGATTTGGTTTGATTGAATCAAACTAGGTATTGATTTGAATGTAAATGTAGAAAATGTATTGATTGTGTCCGTAATGGAAATATTAGAGTTAATATTGAACAACTGCATTGGTTAGAAGAATGGATAAAATTATAAGACTTCTCTGGTTAGATTTTGTTAAATATGGCATTAAATAGAGCTTACTAAATTGAATTAGAAGTGAACAAAATATGGTTAGGAAAACCGAGGTGAAAAATGGAGATGGGCGTAGATTAATGGAAAAGGCTTAATGATAGGAGTTAGGATTGTTATTCTAATAATTTTGTTATTCATGGGGGAATATGATTACAGTGACAGGTGAAACATGCTGTCTGTTCAATTGGTGAAAATGACAGTCTATCCCAAGGATGAACAAAATTATGTGACGATACAGGTAGCGGGAGCTACAGTGAGATATGTGTTAAATGTATGTTCTGTTTGTTTTTCTTCTATTTGTTTATTTTCTGAGAAAGATTAAGGGCAAAAGATTTAAAGAGGGTTAAAAGCAGCAGTCATCCGTGTTACGAGATGGCGTACAAAGATAGGGTTTGAAACTGAGTGATTTTTATTATACTTTTATCTGTTTGTTTCCTTACTATGTTATAACTACCTTTTTCCTTACTGGCGTGACTGAGGGTCTGTTTACAGGAGCGCAGGAACAGAGATTTCTCGCTTAGCCCGGCGTCGTAAAAAGGTTTACTTGCTAGCTAAAATATTACGGGGCCTTTCCCCAAACAAAAACAGCCTTATGCTTCTTCATTCTAAACTTTTCTTCACAGGTTCAAGGAGAGTGATCATTTATGCAAAAATCAGAGATAAAGAGTATAAGTGTGATGATATGACTTAAAATTTGTTTTATTGTTTATTATTGTGATTATGGGTAATCAGAATGATAAAAAGTGAGGAGTTGTAGTGGCAATTTTAATGATATTCATTGATCTTTAGTAAAATATAGATGATTCAAAGAATGTCACATGTGTGTCTCACTTGTAGTGAGAGAAGATTCTGTTTATGTACCTGGGGAGGCAGAAGAGGGAGACACTCCAGAGAACAGACGAACTAGGACCTCTGACCTAGATGTCAGAAGGCCATTTTGGTGCAGGGGGGCTTATGGGCCAACTAGTGACGTCTATGGAAAACTACTGGGAGGAAGGCTCTGGGGGGAAGAAGGCCTTGAAACTAAGATAAAAGCTAGTTCAGTCTGTCTGGGGGTGTGTCACTCTTCTGCACAGGGTAACAACTGTGTATTAGACTGCTCCTATTCTTGCAAGAATAAATACTTCTATTTTATATAATTTGACTATGAGTGTCTCTTACGCAGTGATGTTTGTTTGAGATGAATTTTTGCCACAACAGTAGCCAAAAAACAATCCTTCTAATAGTATAAAACATGACGCCCATCAGTGTAACTACAAAGGAAAATCACATACAAAACGGATTTCAACTATTCCAAACATGAAAACTTTACTCACCCAAAACTGACAGGAATGTGGCCTTGCAAACTGGCAATTTGTTGGGGTGCTCATCCCACAGCAGGCTGTATTTCACGGTGACATTCCTCCCCTTCTGACGGTTTTCGTCGTTCTGACGCTGCCGTTTTACCTCAGATACGCTCATCAGGTGAAGAAGTGCCGCGTCCTGATCCACCTTATTAGGTTTGTCATGAAACTTCTGAAAATTCATGACAAGGTCATCGGGTGTCAATCTATCTGCTTGGCAAAAGCATTTAGCTGAGGTGTGTTTACATCCAATGGTGGGGATCCGTCCTCCACCAGAGTAGCGTATCTTCTTAGTTTGTTGACGTTCGTGGTTGTCTTCGTTTAAACGCCGTCGTCTTCCACCTGGCGCGGGCTTAACAGCTTCTTCGGACCCATCAAAAGTGTTTATCACAGTCAACACATTCATTTTTCCGACGTATTTAATTCACACTGACGATGTTTACCTCACGCCTCACGTACACCTCACGCATGACAGCTATTCGAAGACTCCGATTGGCCGAGAGAATATGTCGCACTGTGACTCGAAACGAGTGTAGCGGCTGTCGCGGTTTGGAGTAAAACGACACCTTTCAGTACAATTTAAACAGGGATATGTAGCGATTTGGTTAGAAACATTTATGGAGCAGTGAGTAGGCTCGGTATACAACAGAATGACGTGACAAACTCATTTTTTTTTTTAAATGGCGTTTATCGCGTTTTGGAAAAGAGCTCTTCAGATGTAGATATAGAATTTGCTTCGTTTCGCTCGGACATTTAACGGCGTAGACATACACGCGGATAGCTCGAAATGCGTATAGATAACACGCCACTTGACTTGAAAGTGGCGTGTATGTTTACGCAAAGTCATGATGTCATGTCGCAACTTATGTCTGTGAAGGGAATGGTGGGTCCATTTCCCTCACATATATGCAGGCAGCACTTCATGGTTTTGCCATTTCTTCCACAGTCAAAATGTGCGGGAAAAAAGAGTATTGTCTGGCTCGTTTTTATCATAGACATAATAAATACATAGACGCCCAATTGCCTGCTGGAGCGTACGTCAACGGTGCCGCCATATTGCGGTGGGGAAATTTCCCATAACTTTCATGCCAGGAATTGAGAAATGTGTTTCGTGCACTGCTTGGGACTGGACAAATCGCCACACAATTTAAAAGTACCCCCTCATAAAATCACTTCTCGAAAAGATGTGCAAAGACAGCAACTTCATATCAGCACGCCAGTGTGTTGACAAACGCGTCACCAACACCGACACTTTCCCACGCACGCTATTGGATGAAGGCAACAAATAGCCTACGTCATGCATGTCGGACCCCACACGTAGCCGCCTGCTCTATTCGCCGGGAAAATAACCTGGAGAAAGTTACCGATATTATAGTAATGTGCGAAGTATGTGAGTGGCATTGGAATTTTTATTTGCTTTGTTGAAAAGTGTAGTGGTTATATATAAAAAACTGGATTATCCATCCCCACAAAACACGAAATCTCCCCTCGGCCCACCGTCTTATGTGAAGCACAATGAGCTCCTTTACTGCATACGGACCACAACACTCACTGCTAACGGGTCGTGTGTGAAACAGGCGTTAGTGTGAAGAATATCCCACACGTGTGCTATAAGGATCAAATGAGTTCAGCTTTGAGAATGAAACTAACCTGTTTGTTCCTCAGTTTCTTCAGTTTTCACGCTGAACACTTCTTCAATCTTTATGTCTTCACTCTCCTGTTTAATAAACGCCATCTTTATAATAGCATCACGTGGATCTCAGATGCTCCAGTTTTCCTGTGTTTGCACAATTTGTCATGTTTAAGAAGAGAACAAAGTTTAGCAGAGAATAAAAAACTTTAGTAGTTTGTAGTCAGAGAATTGGAAAGGGAGTGTGTCAGAATGTGCAATTGATAGTTAATGGCCTGATTGGGAAAAAAATAAATAAATGAAAACTAGTGGTACAAATAATAAATTTATAACAAAAGTTATAATTTTCCATGTTTGTGGTCTCGTTACAGTTGTTATCGAGCGCTTCAAAATAGTGAAACATTAGCAAAATAATCGGTTCAACTGTCTCGGAGTTCCGTTTCTCCCATTAATATTTGTCAGAGACCGAATTCGTGTTTACGATAAACTGATTAACGATACATGGAGCGAAATGAGACGCAACTTTTCTGTTATTCAAGCGCGGACGCGCTTTACTGAGAAAATATCGCTCATTAATGTTAGACAAAGCATTACAATGGTACAATAACAGCTTCATTTTATAGTACTGTTTTACAGTACTGTAAACAATATAAATAGACAGAACAGTTTGTATCTAATTAGACACTTTAAATGTGTGAAAACACAAACCTTTCTTCAGGCGAATCACAGCAGGCGCAGGAGCGCGACGCAGCTTTATGACGTCATATCGCCAGACCAAAATAAAGGTTCCCGCTGCTGTGTCTAAAATCCCCAAAGTGCAGAGAAATGAACATACAAATAATAAAATAGATGTCAGATGAATTCAGAGTTTACTTCTTACTTTTAGAGTTTAATGAAAGAATGTTAGATTCATTCTAAAAGGCAAAACTGCAATGTCTGGGTGGGTATACAGAAACCATTTATACACAATAAAAAAGAACTGTTTAAGTGATTTTAACTTAAATTTTATTTTAACTGAGTTTAAAAAATGGAAAATTTCTCAACTTATTTTGACGAGGTTAAGTATTGTAAAAACATTTTTTTTTGTCACGGTTTATTGATCATATATATATTTTAAGTAATGTCTATGCACTTTTGTTATTTTAGACACAGCATCGGGAACCTTTATTTTGGTCTGGCGGTATGACGTCAAACAGCTGCGCCCTGCTCCTGCGACTCGGTTGAAGAATTGTTTGCGTTTTTACCATGGTTTGTACACACAAAAGTCTAATTCGTTCTATTTGATAGTTTTTTACAATAACTGTTAAACGAATACGCTTTTATTGAATGCAACATTGTTGTAAAGCGATCGTTGATGCTGTTCCAATGAGTTATGATAACATATATGAATTAATTTGTACCACTAATTTTCAGTATTTTTTTGTTTTGCCTTATCAGACTATAAATCTGACTGACTTTCTTTCCAATTCTCTGACTACAAACTAATGTTTATTACAGTTTAAAGCTACTACAGTTTGACTTTACTTTTCTTAATTAATCTTAAACATAACAAATTGTCCAAACACACAGGAAAACTGGAGAAGCATCTGAGATCCACGTGATGCTATTATAAAGATGGCATTGATTAAACAGGAGAGTGAAGACATAAAGATTGAAGAAGTGTTCAGCGTGAAAACTGAAGAAACTGAGGAACAAACAGGTTAGTTTCATTCTCAAAGCTGAACTCATTTGATCCTTATAGCACACGTGTGGGATATTCTTCACTCTAACGCCTGTTTCACACACGACCCGTTAGCAGTGAGTGTTGTGGTTCGTATGCAGCATAGACAGGAATATATATATATATATATATATATATATATATATATATATATATATATATATATATATATATATATATATATATTGTGATTGAAACATTTTCAAAGAAGAAAACAGTCACAATATAGAACAAATAAACAGAAAAAAACATGAAAAAAAAGGAAAAACAAAAAAAAAAGGCACAAGACAGGGGTGTATAACTAATCAGAAAAAAATACATATCAAAGGAAAAGATTAAAAGACTTACATATTTCAGTTGTTTTTAAAGCCTTCTTGGTACACGAGTCAGAGATAGTCCCAAAGTAATGTTGTATTTCAATAAGCAAAACACAGAAAAGTTAAATCTCTCTGCAGCGTTTTCTCCATAATAGGGGAAAATTACATACACATCTATCAATTTGATTTTTACATATAGAGATACCTAGATAAGATATTAGGGGTGCACGATTCAGAAAATGTCACGATTCGATTCGATACCGATTTTTTTGTCTCAAGATTCGATTCAAAATCGATTTTCTATTAAAAAACGATTCTCGATTCAAAAAACGATTCGCAGTATATAAATGTAGTTTACTTTTTCCTATGTGATTGATTGCAGTAGACACAATTTAAAAGAAAAAAAACACAACAAATTAAATGTAGATTGCTATTACTTTATGTCTTCATACAAGAATAAAAACTTTTGCAACTAAAAAGTGCAAAGTGCCAAGCTTTGGCCAGCTTTCAAATACATTTAATTCAAGTTTAAAATAAAACTTAAATAAAAAGCTTTTACATTTAGCTTTAAAGTGCTGTAGTCAGATCAAACAAACAATTATGCTAAATGTGGTTTAAGGAGTACTTCAGCTACCAGGCTGACTGTTGAAATGTGAACTCGACTGGGCACATTGAACTTCCTAAAAATATACTAATGTCATAGAACCCTTGTGAAATAATTTTAAATAGATTTTAAAAAGCCACCGCTACTGGTAGCAACTATGGTTAGATTGATTTGTTTAGATCCAGTGAAGTCGTTCATAGGCGTAATTTGCGGGTATCTCCAGTTAACTAGCAGAGCATTCATTTAGTTCGCTATTAATAAGAGATCTGTTGTTTTTGAAATCAAGCTGAGCGCTCGTGTCCGCTGCTATCAGTCTCATGGATACAGTGTTCTCTGTGGCTCGCGCAGTCTTCACTCGGACGCGCGCTTCATATCGCCGTTGTGGTTCCGGTGAAATCTCAAAATAAAATGCACACAAACGTGATGAACATATTCGGTTTTGATGAGAGTGAGAAAAAACGATACGAGTGCGGTTTAGAACCCGTAACACGCTTGGCAAAAGATCTACAGACCATTAAGAACTCAAACATAATCTGCGGATCGATGCATTTATTTACGGGTTGAGCAGAGAGGCTGCACAGTTTGACCAGCGGGCGGCAAGAACTTGCAATGAAACTATTTATCAGACCGGCCCTCGCAGCCTCGAAACACTACCGGACCACCGGTAAAACTCCCGACTCACCCGATTGCCACTCCGCCCATGCACGCCATAAAAAAAAAAAAAATAGCCTATGTGAATCGATTTTTGGAATTCTATGAATCGATTCTGAATCGGTAAAGATTGAATCGCGATTCAAATGTGAATCGATTTTTTTGCACACCCCTATAAGATATCTTGTCTTTAATTGGAATATTATCAATTATAGTTAGGTTACAACCTTTAATTGAAAGTAGTTCACATTTAGACAGATTCAAGAAAAGACCAGAAGCTTTAGAGAATCTATCCACAGTGCAATGGGTACCCAAGAGGCATCTCTTAAAAAAAGAGCAGTGTCATCTGCTAATTGGCTGATCTTTATTTCCCTTTCAGCAATGAGAATCCCTTTCAAGGCACTTTTATTAACATAATGCGAGAAAACCTGGGTGACGAGGAGGAAAAGATAGGGTGAGATAGGGCCTGATACCCCTTTGAAGACTGAATCTAGGTGACATACCTAAACTACATTTCAGCGAACAGTTACTGTTAGTATAAAGTGTCCTGACGGCATTATTAAAAAAATCACCAAAGCCAAATTTCCTAAGGCAACGAAAAATACAATTATGCTCCACTGTGTCAAATGCCTTGTGGAAGTCTAAACCAAATATAAAACTTTCCTCTGAAATCAAATCAGAATAGTCAAGGAGATCTACAATGAGTCTGTTAATATTAGAAATGTGCCTATTTTTTATAAATCCAGACTGAGATTCATCGATTAAATAGCTCATGACCTTCTGTAATCTTTGAGCAAAAATCAGAGCTAGAATCTTATAATCAGTATTAAGTAAACTGATTGGACGCCAATTTTCAATAAGAAGTGGTTTTGTAATTCGAGTAATCACACCTTGTGTCAAGCTATAGGAGGAAGAGATGTTCTCAGTATAGAGCTAAGGGTTCAGAGAAAGCCTTATAAAACCCAGCAGGAAAACCATCATTACCCGGAGACTTGTTGATTTTAAGATGATTAATAGAATCAACAATTTCCTTAAAGGAGTAGGTCACTTTAAAAAAAACTTTTGCTGATAATTTACTGTCATCCAAGATGTCCATGTCTTTCTTTCTTCAGTCGAAAAGAAATTAAGGTTTTTGATGAAAACATTCCAGGATTTTTCTCCATATAATTAACTTCAATGGGGTCCAAACGGTCCAAGGTCCAAGTGAGAGTTTCAGTGCAGCTTCAAATGGCTTTAAACGACACCAGACGATGAATAAGGGTCTTATCTAGCGAAACCATCGTCATTTCAAAAATAGATACAAAAGTTTAAGTTTTATAAGCACACATGCTCACCTTGCTCGACTCTCCTGTTCGAACTCGTTCATCAAAATGAACGAATCTTTTTTTCGAGTCATTTCGTTCATTTCGTTCGTTGAATTAACCAAATGTCTCGAAAAAAGATTTGTTCATTTTGATGAACGAGTTCGAACAGGAGAGTCACGAACACGCATCACAGAACAGAGCAAGGTGAGCATTTGTGCTTATAAAACTTAAACTTTTGTATTTATTTTTGAAATGACCGATGGTTTCGCTAGATAAGACCCTTATTCATCGTCTGGTATCGTTTAAAGCCCTTTGAAGCTGCACTGAAACTCTCACTTGGACCTTGAAGCGTTTGGACCCCATTGAAGTCCATTGTATGGAGAAAAATCCTGGAATGTTTTCATCAAAAACCTTAATTTCTTTTCGACTGAAGAAAGAAAGACATGGACATCTTGGATGACAGTAAATTATCAGCAAAAGTGTTTTTTAAAGTGAACTACTCCTTTAAGGGAAATAGGTTTGTCACAACGATTTTTGTCATCTGCCTCTATAGTAGTTATATAGACTATGGAGTCTAAAAATGAGGACGTATCATCCTCATCGAACCTAGAGGTATATAATAACTTATAAAACTTGTTGCAATAATCAGAAATTGTCTTGGGGTCATCCGTAATGAGACAAGCTATTATAACTGGCATTAGACTTCTCTAGCCTGAAGAAGCTAGCATTTTGTTCTCCTTGCTCCATTCATCTCCTAGATCGCACGAAGGCACCTTCAGCTTCACATTTGTAAATATCATCAAGCTGATTTAGTAATTTACAAAGGAAAGCAGCATCAGCATTTGAGAGATTTTCAGGAGCCCCTGAGTAACGGCATCAATTTCGCTAAGCTTGGCAAGCTCACTCCCAAATCTTCTCATACATTTACCAATATCAAATCTGAGTAACTCCCAATTATTACTAAAAGAGCGTTCCCTTACAGCTTTTTGAAACTAATGAAATAGTTCAATTTTAGCCTAACGGTATTATGTGATAATAGAGAACTATTTAATTTCCAATATGATGGTTTAATAGAATTTAGAGGGCTAACAGAGAGTTACATTTTTTTATAAAAATAGCCTTATGGTCAGTTAGGGGTGTTGGAAGAATATCAACAAAAGTACTATGAATGTCAATAGATTTAGAGATTAGCCAACGGTCTATACGAGAGAGATGAGAAGCAGCCTTGTTGCTCCAGGTAAAAGCTTTAGTTAATGGGAATTTGGTCCTCCAGGCATCAATCACATCAAGTCTCTCCATGAATTGAATAAACTTTGGATTAAGTGATGAGGGTTGACCAGGTGGCCATTTATCAAGAACACTGTCAATTGCAATATTGAAATCCCCACCTATAACAAGCAAAGAGTTTGGACATTTTTCACACTTTCTATAAACTCAAGAAAACTTGCATTCTCAGACCTTGAATTAAAACCATAAATATGGGCCAAAATAATAAAAGTTGAATTGAAATCAATGACATTACACAGAAAGCGACCATATGAATCACGGTCCGAATGTAAAATATTCCCTCTAAATGCATTCCTGAGAGTAGTAACTCGTGCGCAGCGTTCAGTTCATGGGAAAACCACACGTCGTGACCCCACTGAGATCTCCAGAATCTTACATCGTTGACAGATGAATGGGATTCTTGGAAAAAACTAAAGTCAGGCTTCAGTGTCTTTGCAAACAAAAATAAAGCTTTCCTTTTTACAGTTAGCCGTATATACCCCTGACATTTAATGAAAACAAAGACAGCAACATCAACTAGAAGTAATACAAAATAACCGTTAAAAACAAAAAGATCTTAAGCTTAGAGCAGAAAGAGATCTCCCAAACTCTGCAGTCAAACAAAAGTCAATGTTAAGTGAACCAACTTGTTAAATAACAAAATGACAAGTCCCCAACAAATTTTGAACTATAGCTTATGGATATTAAGGCACAATAACCAAAGATCCTAGATTATTTAGCAGCAAAACGTCAAACTTGAAAGAAAGCCATTAAGGTGGATTAATTATTACAGGTCTCGGCTTGTCGGTTCGCATCCTTGATCCTAAGTGATGAACC